CACAAATGTTCTTGGAATATATTTGAATAATATTTCTGAATGCGACTTTAACAACGTAAGAGTTATTTCCCTTACACCGGATTGGACATTATTTTGACACAGCGCGAATTCTTGTCAAACAGCAGCGGCAGTTGTGTCATGTTCTTAAATTGTTACATTTTCATAAATAAATACACCAGAAATAGCATGCTGTGTTACAGGAATGTTTGATAAGCATACATAGTTCACATATCGTCTCGTCTCAGAGCCACGTCCGTGGTAGCAACGATGGTTTATTACCGTTATCAGAGACATATAGACTATATTAATATATAAGTCTCTGCCGTTATCAACCTAAGCACTGCATGTCATATTACCTTCCCGTTTGAAACATCAAAATAGAGGTTATACTTCATCACTCATACGGTTTATAAGTATATATATTTACTTCTTCCTTGTACTTACAAAATATAAAAAGCTAGACCGTACAGACAGCATCCATGCTTGACAGTTTTCACATGTGCTTTCTCGAATCAGAGTCACGAAAACAAACACTCCTCAGAGTCACCTCAATCCAAGTTGCTAAAACGCTCAAACCAAGTGCACAAATTTCACCACCACAACACTCGTAGAATGCACCGGAGATAAACATTTTGTTTGCAGCAATTATTTAAAGTATGGATTATTATTTGGAGAACAGTATCTGAGGTAGCAATATACAGTAGAAATAGCCCGACTCTGATAAACAAGGTACATGTCGAGGAAACGTAAACACAGCAGTTTTACCCTACACAACACATGTATACATGTATATATATTTGTAAACTGCATTACATTTACAATACATATAAAGTACTGAGAAGTGTATAAACCTCTTTTTTCTATGTATGTCACTTGTGTGTAAACCATGGTTACCACATCAAAAATTACCAAAAAATGCCAAAAATTGCTATTTTTGACCCAAAATTCGACCCCCGCAACTAGGATTTTTTTCCCTTAGTTCTGACTGAAATTAAAGATTACCTACCTGGTTGCAGAATTATCTGGGTCCCAGTAAAGTTGTAAAACTTGATTTTTTGCAATTTTGCGTCGTGTGCACTCAGTTGTCATGTGCTTTTCATGTGTAGGCACCCTTTCGGATTATGGCCAAAATTTTATTCTCGAACCAAAAGAATCTTCTCTTTTTTGTTAACAAATGTGAAGCTCACATAGCCCACTTCATCATGCTTATACCAATTTTAGTACAGTTTTATTTTTATGTTTTTTTTACATATCATTATACAGGGGTTAGCCATTTAACAAAAATATCACCCATGGCCACCACCCTCTACTGTACACTGCTACCTGATGTAACCCACAGGTGAGTGTCAGATATTCTACTCCCTATTTACGATAACGAAACTATATAGCGGAAGCATGCAAGACCGAATTATGCGCACGCACCCCGAACGGAAGTGGGTCCCTCATTTTGTTCTCTGGACAGAAATAATAAGCCGCTTGGCTCTCACCAAGAGTGGCTTAAAAACTTGAAAACCCCTTAGTGAAAAATCAGTTATTCCTTTCAATGTTTATTAAAAAAAATCTTTAAAAAAACTTCTGTGACTATATTACTCTATATATTATATAGCCAATTTGAGACATAGGAACACTATAGCTAAATTGTGACAAGGAACACTATAGTCAAGTTGTGACATAGGAACACTATAACCAAATTGAGACAAGAAACACTATAGCCAAGTTGTGACATAGGAACACTATAGCCAAGTTGTGACATAGGAACACTATAGCCAAGTTGTTACATTATTAGAAACACTATAGCCAAGTTGTGACAAGGAACACTATAGCCAAGTTGTGACATAGGAACACTATAGCCAAGTTGTGACATAGGGACACCATAGCCAAGTTGTGACATAGGAACACTATAGCCAAGTTGTGACATAAGAACACTATAGCCAAGTTGTGACATAGGAACACTATAGCCAAGTTGTGACATAAGAACACTATAGCCAAGTTGTGACATAAGAATGCTATAGCCAAGGTGTGACATAAGAACACTATAGCCAAGTTGTGACATAGGAACACTATAGCCAAGTTGTGACACAGGAACACTATAGCCAAGTTGTGACAAGGAACACTATTATTTTTTATATTTTAGTTCTAAGCCCTGATCTCTGATCGGTTGCTTTCATGTTAAAATAACAAATAAATGTTATTTTTCACAGTACAAAAATGTCAACTTCCTTTTACTATTGAACCTTATATTTCACTGGAAAAAAGGATTTAGGAGGCACGGTAGTCTAGTGGTAGGAGGCCAGGCTCATCACCGAAGGGTTGCGGGTTCGAGTCAGGGCACATACCGCACTGTGTTGTATCTTTGAGCAAGATACTTTACTCCGCTTGTTCCAGTCTACTCAGCTGTAATTGAGTATGTGGTTGGGCAATGCTAGAAATGTAAAATGCTGGCTGTGAGCACCGAAATGGCAGCACCGGCTGTATGCTTCCCTGGGAGTTGAGAAAGTTATTGGCTGGTTGCAATGGCCCTATTATAACCAGATCTAACAATTTGTGAACCCCTTTGAGATAACCTACGAACTAGGTTGTGATAAAGCAGTATATAAGAACCTTGAGTTATAAATTATTATTAACATTACACATTTCTGATAGAAAAATTCCCTGCAGGTTTGGGCAAGAATTAGGCCTGAGCTGTATCCTTAAGCATGTTATTGTAACAGACAACTAATATGGGCCCCTGCAGAATAGGGGTTTTCTTCTGTGCCTTCTGCTTAATGCACATTGACAAAACCAAAACTGCTCGTTGAAACACTTGAGATATTTTTGTTTTCAACTTCTCTACTCTGTCTTTTGTTTTTTCCACAGTTTCTTCCAAGGCACACACCTTCATATGACCTTAGCTGCTACTAGGACATTGAACCAAAAGTAACAAAGAAAAAACAAATTGTCTGGATTTGAGTTTCGGTTCATGCACTTATAACGCATAACAAGGTATTCTGGGGTCTATATTTATATACACCTACATGGAAAGAGTACAGATTTACTTTATTACAGCTGACACAAAGACACATTAAGTTGAAAATCAGAGTTTGATCACACCCTTGGCGACACATCAGGTGGATGTAACCAGCTGCCAATATAATTTCTGCTCATAAAATGACATCAACAACATACATGCTGGCTTATATAACTGACAACAGTGCAATTTTAGTCTGACCTATAGCTAGTAAAGCCAACTTAGGTTTACACATCTCAAATGGGAAAGGTACAAATAATTTGAGAAAAAGAAAAAAACAAGAAAAAAAAAACATTCTGAAAACAAAAAGCTCCCGTTATTTTTCTAAAAGTGAACCCCTAATAGCAGCCAATCATAAGGCTATATATAGCAGCCATATTGGATTTCATCATTTATCTAAACAACCTTGCCATTGAATGGCCCCTAATCCATGCATTTGTATTGTGCACATGACAAAATATTATTACTTTAGCCATTGTAGTTCATAAAAAAAAGTGTTTAGTTTCAACACAACTTTGACCCCTTTGACTTCATATGGTTCAATGAAACTTATCTGAACAGCTGCTTTTCACCCAAGCAAGTTACAGGTCTCATAGCAATATCCTTGGCTTTATGGTTTATAAGAAGAGGTTGTTTGAATATTTTCACACCTTTACTTTACATCCCTGCTTGTAGGCTAAAACCGCTTGAGTGTTACAAGGCCATTAATTTACTTTAACAAATTTGAAAGCCATTCACCTCTGCAAGCTACATGGCAATTTTCATGACTTCAGGCTGTGTGGTTCTTGAGAAGAAGTCATTTCAATTGTTTAAACACTTTTGATTCCTGTGACCTTGCACTGAAAATTGGGTATTCACTTACCAGTATGTGAACAACCGATATGCCCAATATATAATATCATGACTTAACCCTTTCACCCCTAAGTAACTTTAGTAGACTCTCCCATGTATTGATATGGATGAGTCTACTATGGTCTACAGTGGTGAAAGGGTTAAGCAATATGACAGGCTTTTCATCTCAGTTAACTGAACTATAACAGTTACAACTTAACTTATAGTTTTATATTTTGTCAAATACGGGTCAATGTAATGCTTTTAAGACAAGTTGTTTGCTTTCTCCAAAACCCTGAAAGGTTGACATTGCGCATTGTAGAAAATAATGCATTTCTTTACGTAACTCTATATACATATGACATTCATTAGCAGGTGACAGTGAATATTGTCAACCCTCAAAAACCCATTGTCACCCCGAGGCAAATCTATTTTGTTACACCAAAAGTCTTTGTAGCTCAGAAACCGCAGCAAACCTTGATAATGACATCTTGTTTGTTGATAGTCTGCTGTTTACAATCGCTATCGCACCGGCGCTTGATGAAATTGGCTGTTGCCGTCAAACGTTCTTGTGACCATAATGGTGGGGAAATGAAGCGGTGAACACACATTTTTCGTGCATGTGATATTTTTCACTATCTCATGGCAATATCACCCACGCCCCTTAAAACCAATGTATTTTCGGAGGGTGACAGAGATTTTTGTTTAATTTTCTCCCAACCAATCAAATAGCTAGAAATTCACTTGAGGTGTAACAAAATGATATATACAATGGTACTACCTACATGTAACAATAAATACGTTTCTCGTGCTTGTAGTAAATACAAACTGAATGTGCTAGATTTCTTGAGATGGTCTCAACCATTTAAAATTATATATATTTACAAACGAACATCCCAGCTTATCCTACATAACTTAGCACACAGGATCATTAATCACCAAAAGTTGACCCACTAAAATCTAACCACCCCGTCTTGAGCGAAAAAAAAATGCCAAATTTTAGCAACGCCAAAATATTACAAAGTCATATTTTTTAGTACTGATTTTGATATCAAAATAAGAATGTTACACTAATTAATAAGAATCTAATTGATACAGCCACTGCTTTATAATGTAGCGTTTAGCTCACTAGTTCCTAGAGCACGATCAAATCTTGACTGACCTGTTTGTTGGTTCTACGGTCCAGATCTTCAGTTGCAGTCCGGCCGTAACTATGGTAATCCTGTCTGATGATAGGGTGGTACTCGTAATGGCGATGATTCTCTCCGTCTCCTGGTCATCTAGGGTAGACATGTAGTTACCTTCTGGGAGGTAGCGTACTGGAAAAGTATACCAAATTTATTACATAATAATATCTTCTTTAAATTTACAACTAAAAAAGCCTTATAAAAGGTTTTTTGGCATGAATTATAGCCTAAATCTAAAGGGGCTGGCAGGGAAAAAAATACAAAATAAATGGGTCTAAATGCGTTCTCTGGCCTTCCAAAAGTTATACCACGGCAATATGATGGTCGAGTTCTGCTTGCAATGTCCAGTTTTGACCACTGAAATCTCGGGGAAGCCCCGTGTAAATTTAGCGCAGATCTATTTCTATATGTCACATGGTTGTTTCGAAAGTGAGGCAGTGAAGATAACAACAATAGCATGCCGTCATGTGCTATGTCGGACTCACAAGACAGCAATACTATACATAAATAATTGTTTTCAAAGGTCATGTATGATGCAAGTGTAGTATTCCTATCTATATGTTGTTGTTATATTTAATAATAAGGGTATTGATACCTCGTGCCTGTCATGACTTTTTCATGCATCTTTTTCTTTCGCCGCGATGTTTACATTTGTCCTTGTTGATGACGCTCGTGCGGTAAAATTACATCACTGATCTGGGTCAATTGAGAGTTTGACTGTCAGGTGACGATTTAGGATTTCTTTCATATAATTATAATTTTTACTCTTAGGGAGTGAATTTCAGCAAAATTTGAATCAGTATATTTCATAAGAAGGTATTTTAAACATGTGTATGCCATTTTAGCAAATATGACATTTTTTCCCCGACCAGCCCCTTTAAGCTTTCATTTGAAATTTGTAAGTCTTAATTTCAGACCTAATTTGGAATCAGTGAGTCTACATTTCAGCTCTAATTTTCAAGTTAAAAGTTTAAATTGAGCTTAAATTTGACATTTTAAGTCTAAATTTGAGTTAAAATGTGAGAAATTTTAAGCATGCATTACGCCTTAGTTTGAACTTTGCAAGCCTAAAATTGAGCATTAATTTTGACATTGTAGATCTGAATTTGAGCTTTCATTTGGGCTTTGAAATACATAAATGAAAAATATATTATCCACAAGAAATACAACACACGAACAAATGACTGATATATGACAAGGTTTTCCTGAACATGTCTTTGCTATTAAAAGTAAACCAGTGGATGGGAGGTAACTCAAGCTGATATCCTTTCAAGTCAAAAATTATTTTTGTTTGTTAATTTCTGTTTACAATTTGAGGACAAAGGGAAACACTGCAAAACATTTAAAATTGGCAGTAAATATATATATATATATATTTTTTTCAAACAAAGTGAAACATAATCTAACTTTCAAAAACAATTTGACAATTATAGTTTTATACATTATACAATTTTACATGATAGATAGCTAAGTATACAACCATTTTTTTCAATGAATTCCAGGAAAGAAAAGTGTTATACAGTTAATAAAGTGCCATTTTCTCCAGGTTACATGAGGGGCAAATGTAACAGAGGTCATTATTTTGCAATACCTCCGCTAGAAGTCGAACCCGGGACCTCTGGCTTACTAGTCTTACGTTCTATTGAATGAGCTAAAGAGAGATTCTCCCTTAAGCCGAGTCGGTAGGAAGCGGCTAGTATTTTACCAGTGTGACATACTCCCCCTCCAGGAAAGAACTTGTCCCGAGTTTTCCAGGGGTCATAGCGATTCCTTTGCAAGTATCGCCGAGTATTTTTGTCAAATCTCCCGGGTCCCTACGTGGGCACCAATGTAACAGAGGTCATTATTTTTTCAATGCCTCCTCTAGGAGTCGAACCCGGGACCTCAGGTTTACTAGTCTTATGCTCTATGGAATGAGCTAAAGAGAAATTCCCCCTAGCTGAGTGGGTAGGAAGCAGCTAATATTTTACCAGTGTGACACAAATTTCAAGCTATTTTGGCCTATCTAACAAAGACCACAGCAAAATTAAACTTCAAGCCATCATAAATCCAAAACATTAAAGTCAGTCATTGAAATATTTTGACCAATCAGAGCCCATGGCAGCCATATTGAATTCTAAAACTATTAGAGTCTATTATACAGGTTTAATAAAAATCTATTACTCCCACAAATTATGAACAACAACAACAACCTATTGGTGGTCAAACTATTATAGTACTATTATAAATGGTTTGGTTGGTTTGTTTGTGTTTTATGTCGTATTAACAGCTTTGGTCATTTAAGGACGTGCCAGGTTTTGATGGTGGAGGAAAGCCGGAGTCACGACCACAGACCTACGGCTAGTACCTTAGCCAGGCCACTGCCCCACGTAGGCCTCGAACCTACGTCCCAGTGATGGAGGGCTAGTAATAGCAGAATGTTAGACACCTTAACCACTTGGCCACCGCGGCCCCTCTTCTGAAGACATTTTAACACAACTTATAAATGTTTCAACCATCTTGAATCCAAAAATGTTTTAAGTCACCTCGGTAACACTTTTACAAAGTACCATCATTGTCAGTCTAACAGAGCTCGGGACAGATAAGGTAACTAATTTCAACATGTATCAGCAACTCAGTAGTCAAGCCAGTAATTACCCCTTAGGCTGCTACATTGATTTCTATGTAAAGGGACACCACTGCTGAATTTCAAATGTGTATAACTTGGAAAATATTTGTTATATGTGAAAAAAAGTTGTATGAAAATTGTTCGTTGTTGTCTCTAGTTTATATGAACGTTTTCAATTCTAAAGTTGCTTCAGTATTTACCTGTACAGGTGGTAATAAAGGTAAGAAAAGTGAAACTTTTAATTAATCGGATTTAAGCAAGAGGAAGATCATTTTAAAAATATTTTCGTCTGCAAATGTGATTGGCAAATGATAACAGAGATTATAAACTTCATTTTTGACATAAGACGCTGTATATTTACACAGAGATTCTCAGGTAAAAAGGTCAGGTATTTCGTCAAGAATTGCATGTGATTTGCTACAGGTTTCAGGTCGCCATTCAATACATTTACTGTCACAGTCGGCATATAGATATATCTTAGCTACAGTCTAGTTTATGATTAAATTACCAATAAAAAGTTTGAAGAAATAAAACGGCTCAAAACGTATCAATGTCAATGTTCAATTCGGCCTCACCTGCAGACGACATGTGCGCCTCGGTCCGCCGATATTTTCCTGTTTGCGTAGGGCACAAATCCGTTTTTTGGAAAGTTACATATTATGTTACACCGAAGTATTTCCACATCAACCATGCCAAACCCTTCAAAACTTATATTATCATCGTAGGTGACAATGGAGAATAATTGTTTACCATCATATTCATCGCTTCAATCTACACGTCCGCCATTAATATGACTTTTTTTTTAATTGAAATTCTCTCGCACACCTTTGGTTATTACAGTTGTGGGATCGCACAACGTTACACGATGTGCGGTGTGCGCACGATGTGTGCACGGTGTGTGAACGGTGTGTGCACGATGGGCGAACGATAAAAAGGTGGACGATCATTGCTTGCGCACATCTGTGCGCATGATGGACGGACGTACGCGTTGTGCGATAGCAATCGTGGTTGGTGTAAATTGAGGAATGCCTTAACAAATTATACGGTTTCGTGTTTAAACATATAAACTTGATTTTTACGTATGTTTCTATATTCTAGCAACATCTATAAACTAATCTTTCTGTCTATACATTCTTATATTTAGAAATTGTGTTTTCTGTGTTTTTAAACAAACTAAATCGACACATGTAAAATTACAACACATACCGTATACAGGTAAACATAACCACTTTGTACATGTACCTGGACCGTAGTTTTCTTCCCCCCTGGGGCACTTACGTCACTCGTCGGGTAAGGCCAGGGGTGTGAAAATCCAGGTGAAGGGGAGCTATGCAATGCAAATACGAATGCAAATAACAAATACTATTCATTATGGTCAAGCGGTATCGCATATCAGCTCTGTGTGTCAGGCACTGGTCAGATAAAACTCCGGACACTCATGAAATTGTTATTTACCTGTTCTGTTACCTTGGAGCCAAACCCATTCGTGACAGCTTAACGGTCGCTGGAATACTGTGTAACACGCATTGTGAAATTGTATAATCTTGATTATTGTGATGAGAAGTTACTGATATATACACAGTGTACATTATCGCATACGAGCCTTCCATATTTTTGTCATTCCGTAATTTTTATCTTCAAATGATACTAAATCGCACAGTTGTGCGGAGAGAAGCACACAACAGGGCGAATGATTGTTAAATCGCACAGTTGTGCGCACCATGTGTGGACGATGTGCGGATGGTGTGTGAACGATGTATGCACAGTGTGCGCATGCTATTTTTTGTGCGTTGTGCGGTCCCACAACTGTACTAGGGTACACTGCCGTGAATATTGAAAGTAATAACAAAACAATCAATCAGAAGCCTTCTACTATACAAGTTCGGGTTTGGTATAGCAACAACCCGACTTCACACTTCCTGGCTACCGATCAAAACCTACAGACCGAGAAACGACATAAGTCGTGCGTAGCACTGACGGCCCGACTTTTCAAAACGACATATGTCGCGCGTAGCAGCCTAAGGGTTAAGCTTGGATATTGAATCAGATAAAAGACACCCAAAATAAAACTTCATTGGAATATGACTGGCATTTTTTTTTAGAAAGGTGTGGTGCAATTTCACTGATCATGAGGAAGTACAGGTCCCCTTTATGACGCACAGACACCACTAAATCTGTATTGTGTTGGAGCACACGATGACTGGAGTACCAGGAATCAATCACACCCTTGGTGACACCATCAGGTGGCCGGCACCAGCCGTCTTTATAAATTCATGTTTATAGTATATATGACATTGAACAATGTACTGGCTTATACAACCTGACACAGGGCCATTGCAGGTTTTCAAGATTCCCAAGTTATTAAGGCCAAATCTGAGTTAGTGTTAGGTTTATTTTTGCTATTTTCAAAATGTGAAATAACACATTTAAAAAAAAAAAAATATATATATAATATGCAAACCATGGTGAAACATTCTTTTAACTGTCATTGCAAATATTACCCAATTTGGGGTTCAGCCTTTCA